GAAACTTGCTGCTCTGTGTGTCTCACTTTTTTTTTCTCACAGAGTCTGCACGCAGATCTGTAACAGCAGCAGAAACATGACTGTTAATAACAAGATTTGTGCCTTGCTGCATGCACGCTACAGAAGTGATGTACCACAGACAGATTGCACCAAACACAGACGACATCACAAAATTACACATCTGCTGACATCCAACCAGCAAGTATCTGCTTCTTTTTCGTCCTATTAAAATGTCACTCATTCAAAGGGAAGTGTTAACAGCAGACTCAGACCATGGGGTAATAAAGAGGAAACTATTCAGCAGAGACAGAAACCACACATCAACTGCCTGTAAAAGACGAACATGGCTAGCAAATACAAGCGACTCGGCAAGTACATTTAAAAAAAGCAATCTATAATATTAGTGTTAATTAAACAGTAATAGAACTCAACACTCACTTTATCTTTCTCAGGTTTTATCTTTATTTGATCTATTCCTCTCACTGGTTTCCTTTGTTTTTACAATAGTTGACGTTTTTGTGTAGTTGTTATTGTAAAGCAGATTGTACAATATGATCTAAATACATGAGTACAATGACCGACGTAAACATTAATCAACCAGTGGTTAAAAAAAAACCTTGATGGAAGCAGTTTGTAGATGACACGAGAAGTAAACACGATTTTAACACTTTTGACAGAAAAACAAAGGGCAGGTTTCGGTTTTTGTAGCTTCTTCTGTTTCCTTGTTTGTGGCTTTTGTTTCATTGATTGACATGTAGAGAGAGGAAGTACAGCGCAGGAAACATCTGTAGCTTCTCTTATCATCAGCAGATTAATGCTTAAACGATCAGATCAACTTTTCTGGCAAGGAAACATGGTGTTTTTTTAGTGACAGATGTAGCAGCTCCATTTCCTGAATCACTTCGTTGTACAATAAATTACGTATATTTAATGAGGTCATAGAAAACGTTTACCTTGATACTGTAAGTAATGTAAAAAAAAAAAAGATGTCAGTGGGGAGGCCACACGAGCCTTGCTCTTCTTCAACCACTCTTTGCCTTTTTCATCTTACCTCTCATAGCACATGATCAAAAATGGATTGACAACCATTTTAAGGTCCAACTAGACATTGTCTCCAAACGTCTCAGGGATCATCCAGATGTTTTCTGTCCAAACTGAGACGAGTCTTTATGTTCCTTTTGGTCTGCCGTGATTTTCTCCTTGAACTCTGCCATGGAGGCCATTTTTGCCCAGTTTCTTTCTCATTGCTGAATCATGACCTTAGCTGAGACGTGAACCCTGCAGGTCTTTTACGTTGTTCTGGGTTCTTCTGTGACGTCCTGGATGAGTCATTGGGGTACTCTTGGAGTAATTTTGGTCTAAACAGGATAATGTGCACAGGGTTAAAGTGGATTCGGCAGGTGGAGGAACCCTAAAATCAGCTGTAAGGTCTCAGTGTGGGTAAAAGAATCAAACTCTCAAACTCAATAATTTCTATTGAGCACTCCAGTAGATGTTCTTAGTGTACAGGCTGTGATCAGCTGACCTGCTGCTCTTCGTGCATGCACACACCAGATGTAAAAAAAATGTTTCATAAGTTGTCCTGGTTGATTTCATCCTCTACACTGACAGAGCACTGTTAATGCTGTCTGATTTCTAGATGGTATAAAGTTGGTATGAAGGTGAATTTCAGTCAATGAATCTCTGCTACACTTGATGTAAGCTAACTGTGACCATGAACCCACAACCACTGTGCAGCAGTCACACACTGTTCTTTACATTAAACCCAACACAGTGCAGCAAACTAACCCGTTTATCCTGCACAAACCTGCAGAAGATTCTCATGCAGAGACAAACATACAAAAAAATCTGAAATCAGGGAGGAGCTCAAACACTTTTTCACACTGTTTATTTGGTTTTACTGATGTTAACACAGTCGCTGATGTTAAAATTTTCTGATTTATTTAAACAGAGTCAGGGGAACCACAAAAGAAGCATACAAAAGCGAAACCAGAGCTCAGGATGGTGCTTGTTGGAAAAACTGGATCTGGAAAAAGTGCATCAGGAAACACCATCTTAGGAAGAAAGGGTGCTTTTGAATCTAGATCATCTTCAAGCTCGATAACTTCAGTGTGTCAGAAGGAAACAGGAGAGTTTGAAGGTCAAAAACTGGCTGTGGTCGATACTCCCGGTCTGTTTGATAATGTTCAAACTGAAGAGGAGATAAAGACAGAGATAAGGAGATCCATCTTCTTTGCTGCTCCTGGTCCTCATGTGTTCCTGGTTGTGATCTGTGTGAGCAGATTTACAGACGAACAACGAGAAACAGTGAGAATCCTTCAGCAGATGTTTGGAGTATACTTAGCAGACTACACCATGGCCTTGTTCACATGTGGAGATAACCTGGAGCATGATGGAGTCACCATAGAACAATTCATCAGGGAAAATCGAGCTCTCCAAGACTTCATCCATCAGTGTGGAGGAGGATATCATGTTTTTAACAACTGAGATGATGACAATCCCTCTCAGGTCAGAGAGCTGCTGAGGAAGATCAACACTATGGTTCAGGGAAACGAACGAAGCTGCTACACCAATGAGATGTTCGGAGAGGCTAAGGAGTCCATGAGAAAAGCTGAAAAAGACTTCAGGATTGTTGTTGTTGGGAAAACTGGAGCTGGGAAGAGTTCATCGGGAAACACCATCCTGGGAGGAAAAGCCTTTAAAACAGCATCAGCTTCATCCCCTGCCTCAGTGACGTCAGAGTGTCAGCAGGAAGCAGCTCTGTTTGATTTTCAAACCCTGGCTGTTGTTGATACTCCAGGCCTGTTTCACTCTGTGTTTACCTTAGGCCAGGTGAACACGGAGATCAATAGATGCATCTCACTGGCTGCTCCTGGTCCTCATGTGTTCCTGGTTGTGATCCAGCCAAACATATTTATAGATGAAGAAGGAGAAACAGTGAGAATCCTCCAGGAGGTGTTTGGAGACGAAGCAGCTCGTTACACCATGGCGTTGTTCACACATGTAGATGATCTGAATGTCTCCATAGAAGAATTCATCACTAAGACTCCAGCTCTTCGTGAATTCGTCCGTCAGTGTGGAGGAGGATATCATGTTTTTAACAACAATAGCAGAGATCCTGCTCAGGTCAGAGAGCTGCTGGAGAAGATTAGACTAATGGTTCAGAGAAACGGAGGAAGCTACTACACCAACAAGATGTTTGAAAAGGCAGAGAGCGCTATAACCAAAGAGATGGAACAACTTCAGAAGAAAAACCCTGGGCTGATGGCCACTGAAGCAAGATATGAAGCAGAAAGAAACAACGAGTTTATTCAGGGCAGCTGGGTTGGTGCTGTTGCTGGAGCTGTTGCTGGACTCGGTGCTGGAGCAGCTGCTGGAGTCAGTACTGCGATTGCGACTGAGCTTGCTATTGGAGCTATTGTGGGAGCTGCAGCTTGTCCAGTAGGAGTGCTGGTTGGAGTTGGACTGGGTTTGGCAGCTGGAGCTGCACTGGATCGTACTACTGCTGCTAAAGTGAGGAAGCAGGCGTGTACTACACAGTGACAAATACTCACTCAGCATCAGCTCATTCACATCATCAAGACAATATTAACAAGTCCTTCTCATTATTCTCATTTTTATTTTCTTATTTACTTTTTATTGGATTAAATTAAAACGAATTATTAATTATTGATCATGTTAGTTGTTGGAGTGATATTTTATGATTGTCATTTGTACTTAGAAACATAGCATCAATAATGTTTAGAGGTATATAATCGATTGAATATTGATAGAATGTCTCATCTGCAAAGACTGTGTGCGTTCCAAAGTGCTCTGGCATACACACACAACCTAAGGTCATGACAGGTCGTACCTTCTCTTCCTGATTTATGGTATGGGAGGACACCTACTCTGTATCTGTTTAAGTATAAGAGCCCTTTATTTAGGTGAACCGTTGGACTCCTAGCACCAGCTTTGGGGAGTTGTTCGCAGGGTCATATTTTCACACACACACACACCTACACACAGACAAGGTACTCTTTGTTCACATATATGCCTGGTTGAGATGTCACATGTTAATGAGACTATGCATATTTATGTAACCACAATAAAGAGCAGTGCTACGGGGAAGCTGTCTGAGAGTCACTGGGGTTCAAGCAGCAGGAACAGCGCTTGGCCTGGTCATCTCCCTCGTGCACGAGATCACACAAAGAGCTCTGGTGACTTGCGTCTTGCTTTCACCATTGTAGTAGAATTGTCTCGGCAGCAATAGGTTTATGCCGAGATAAATGTAATATTAGTTGTGGCGCTTTCTTGAATCTGTCTCTCTCAGATGATGTAGAGTGTGTTTAAAAGCATCGTGAGCTAAACAGATGGAATTTATTGATGAGGGTTGCTTCTTGTGCTGTCAGAGGAGAAACTGCAAAAGAAGCTGGTCTGACTGCACATACATAAATACATGTATGTATGTATGTCTGTATGTATAAGGGAGGGAGGAAGGATTCATCCAAAGGAGGGCTGCTACGTCACAAACTATTTCAGCGAGTAAACCTGTGAAATCTGTACACGAAAGCTCACCTGTTCTGTGTCAAGAAAACCACTAAACAAGACTTTACCATTAGATTCTGGCCACAGGTTTCAGGACCAGTACTAAAAGTACACTGGTTTATTGGAAGCCCCCATGGCTGGGTTATGAACTAGCAAAAATAATAGCGCATAGTAAAAGAATAAATAGTGGTAGGTAGCTTCATTACACCTTTTGATTATCACCATGGACTGCTATCAGAATACCTGGTGGTATTTTCATCCTTCTCTCAGGAAATGGCATTAACTAAGTTTGTGATATAAACTCACCCTGATTTATCTTTCCTAAAGTAACATAAAGACAAGTAATGTCAGAAATCACAGAATAAAAGGGCTGATTGGATAGGTTACATATAACAAGCACAGTCATTTGTGGAACTGGACATTCAACAACTGTTAACATTGGGAAAGCTTCTACATATATCGACACATTCAAATTGACTGATTGTACTTTTTTAATGCTGTGATGTGGAAAACACTAATACAATAACAGCATTTGGTCATGCTGCTGTCACTGATGCCTCAAACACATTTGACAGCTTCTAAATTAAGCTTACCAACATTATTTTATTTCTTTTTTTATTATTCCTTTATTTATCCAGGTAAAAATCTTATTGAGATTAAAAATCTCATTTCCAAAAGAGACCTGGCAGTATTATTGTGAGTTATGACCCACATGCTAAGCGGTGCACTGCATCAAAAGTAAATCCTGTTACATCATGAAAAGAAAAGAAAAACAACTCAAATAAAGTAACAAAAACATGTTTATTATCAACAGGGTGTATAAAACCGTTCATTGTGAAAAGTAAATCCACAAAGTTTATGGTCTGATATGAAGGACGAGCATATATTACACCTGTCATTATGAGACACCATCAAATCACTCCAGCAGAGAGACCTCATGGAAGTATGCTCCCAGCAGCTTGACTCCCTGAATGTAGTTTGATCTGAAAATGGAGAAATAAAGCGATGATAATGGTTTATAATTAAAAAACTCACTTTACCTGTGATCACATTTTAGCATAGAAATAATCTGGAGATGACAAACATGATCCTCTCCTTTTACTGCAATATTTCGTCAGTTTTATCTACTTGTTCCACATTTCAAAAGAAGTGAAACGGTGTGAGCTGTGACCAACCTGTTGATCTTTTCATTCTGAGAGTGAGCTCCATCATCAGAGGACCCTATAGGAAGCAGCATGACATTACGGCCTGTGGCCTCCTGGAAGGTCAGGGTGACCGGGATGCTGCCGCCCTCGCGAGTCAGATCAGGCTCGACCCCGAAGACTACAGTACAACGAGGAGGAAAAGAAAACAAAAGCAGTAAAAATGTAATAATGACAATAATAATAACATCCTAGCTGTCCCTGCATAGGTACAACAAATCTGGGCACAAGCCTATCAGTGAAAATATCTGAAAAAGGCTTAAAAATATGTCCACAAAAATATGCATAAAAAAATGTCCCTGTACCTGTCTTTATGGCCTTTCTCCCTGCCATGTAGTGTGGGTGGTTGAAGTCTGAGACCCAGGCTTTGGCACCGCTGTCCCCTGTCACTTTCAGTTTATTCGGGGTTCCCAGTTCAGCAAACCTCTTCTGCAGATGATCGACGACCTTGAAGAGGGAAAAATAACTTAGACTTGTTGAAGCTTTAATGTAGAAATAAATTGAAGTTGATCTTTAGCTATTTCCAAGTCCAGGCTGAGATTCATTTAGTAAAACCTAACAAAACCTCCTCGTTACGCAATCATTTGTGACAAAATCACTATGTCTTGTCTGCTTGATTGGTTTGCCTGGTTTTCTGCAGATGTATTTTAATGCCGTAACCTGGGACTTTGTTTTTTTCTCTGAATAAAATCATCTGCATTCACTTTATCTTACAAAAATAAGGATGGCTGAGCAAATCATCTGAGCAACAAACTACCAATAAGTGGCAGAGATACAGAGTGACTTCTGCTACTTAATTATTTAAGTGAGTGTTATATGCGATCACTGTGACCTATAACATTGTTTACCTGCTTCTTCACAACTTTGGGGTCCATGTCAGGCACAAGGCGGATGGAAAACTTGCCAATGACCTTGCGAGGAATAACCGTCTTGGCTCCTGCTTCAGAGAAAGCCCCCTCAATACCATGAAGGGAAAGAGAAGGATATCTCCAACGGTGCATGAGGATTTGCTCCTATGGTGGAAAAATAGGTTCAAAAAGTGTGAATGACCCCACATTATACAGCACATTTCCACCAATGAGTGATGTGAACAACATATATAATTTCTTTGCCTTTGTGTCATGCAGCAGCTGGTCAACCCCCACATCTTTACAGTACTCATCCAAGTCAAAGTCGATCTTTTCGTACAGCTTTTGCTCCTCTGCTGTCAGAGGCGCCACACTGTCATAGATCCCAGGAACCAAAATCTTACCCCTTTTGTCAACCAGGGAGCCTGTGCAGGAAGTCACAAACACATGATTAAAACTCTAAACTGCTGTAAAATAAGGTGTGTGAGACTAAAAATCACAATTATCAGCTTCACTTGCCCATAAGTGCGATGAGGTCAGTCATGGCCTCATGAACAGAGCCACCAAACACCCCTGAGTGCAAGTCCTTTTCAGCGCACTCCACCTTGAAGTTTGAACGTAAAACACAATTTTAAAAAACACAAAAAGCTCAAGTATGCCCCTCTTAAATTGAAACACTGTCCCCACCCCCCAACAACAATAATCCAATACTCCACCTCAATGAAGAAATAGCAGATTCCTCTCAGACCGTAGGTGATGCAGGGTTTGCTCTTGCCCAGCCAGTAGTTGTCAGAGATGCAGACGTAGTCCACGTCTTTAAAGAAAGTGTCCTTTCTAGAAAACACAAGATCATCCAGACCCTCAGATTCAGATTCTTCCATCCCCTCGAAGCAGAATTTGATGTTGATGGGAAGGTCCTGCAACAAGAAAAGAGATGCATAAGAAAGAAAAAAAATCAACAGAATAAAATTTGGTTACTGGTTCAAGTTTAAATTCAGGCTCATTGTGAATCTGTTTTTCTCATTTTCTAGAGTTGAAACATATGAAATAATTTCACATTTTTAACAACAAATGATCTCCAAATCAGTGGTGGGTGCCCCACACCAAATGTGCCAGAGTAAATATAAATAGTAGACAGCAGTAATGCATGTCTTACATTTCTCACAATGAGTTTTAATAACAAAGCTGAGCATGAGTCCAGACTAAGGATATAACTGACGATTATATATATGACAATTATTATGCAGCTAAACACTAATACTGTACATTTATCAGCTGAAATTTACTGCTACCAACTAAACAAGTATTTACTGCCATTTCATCTGAAGAGCCAGAGAGGCATAGCAGAAAACACCAACTAAAGACAGATAAGGGTCACATTTTTGTAAATAGGCCAAAATTATATTTTAAAGTGGTATGAATGACCCACATATCTTTTTAGAATACAGTGCTATAGTAGCTATTCTGCTTTATTATCACTGTACAAAAACGAAAGAAAAACATTAATAACATTTTAAGTAACGGTGTACATTTACAGATTCTGAATTATACCATCACACCTCAATATACTCCTGTCACTGTTCAAACACAGCCAACTTAGCATGTTAAGCCACTTCAGGGTTGTTTTTAGGACACACTAAAATATCATATCATCTTTAAACTATCTGAACTTGAAACACCTTTTGTTGGCCAGCTTAAATCTGGCAGTAACTGTACCTTTCCGATCTTCTGATACGCTTCAATGCAGTTAAACCAGGCCAACACTGGACCCTTGTCATCAGTAGATCCTCGTCCATAGAGCTTACCTACAAAAAGAAAACTTTGTTTCAGTTTCAAGGTTCTAATGAGAAGATAGTGGAGTTGAAAAATGATACTAAGGTTATATTTATTACATAGTCAGCATTGAATTTTGTAGCTCAAAAAAAACTCCCCCAAGGAAACACAATTTTAGGGAAGCAAAAACATCTAAATGCAAATATGTAGAGCAATAATTCAACTTAAAGAAGATCCTAAAGAGTAGCAAAAAAATGACTAGGTTAAAATTATTCAGGCACAGCTTTTGCATTACTGTGTGGAGCATAACAAAGCATAGACACCAATTCAGGAATGCTGCAGTGACTTAGTTATGTGAACAAACAAATGCACAGTCTGTGAAATAAAGGACCAGTCATGACTCACAAAGGAAAATGCTTCACTTGAGCCTTTTTGCCTTTTCACAATCCGAGTGTGTTCCCAAAGATTCTAATAATACCTTTACTGGTTCAACTTAACCTGAGAAGACTGTTGATAAGAATGCAGTTCTATCAAAAGACTTTGGAAACATGCTGCTACCTGTTACTGCAAGCTTTGAGAGCATTTAAATAAATTTAACCAATCTAATCACCAAAATTAGAGTTTGATTTTATTTGATTGTTATTTGATTTTATTCATGTTGCAGTGAGACATTCTGTCATGTGACCTGCTGAGGTTACCTGAGGCAAGGTGTGAGTGGAGACTGAAGTGCCTAAATAGCATCTCAAGTCTGCATTATAGGTGGCTGACAGCTGGCGTTGTAATTCACCACCTCCGTTCAACGATGGTCTTTCACGGTGGCAACCTCTAAACAACCTAAAGTGGTGGGGCAAGGTCTCAACTTTAACCTCATATGATGGTGAAGACATCTTTTTTTTCTTCACACCCTGGCTAATGTGATGACTCGCATGATCAACAACCCTCGGGACCACCTGAGAAAAACTATTAGGGGTTAAATACCTGAGACAAACATCCATTTGTTTTAGAACTGAAGGAGCCTCTTGGATGAGAGGTGAAACATCTTTACAAACTAAATACACCCTTCTTTTTTCAAGCTCTCAAGACGCACCTGTGACTTGTTTTGTGTTTCTTATCTTTACCTGTTAAAAATACATTCACCCAATGTTCCCAGTCTACATAGTTGAGCTTGCTGGCAGCATGCCTTCTCTTAGCTATGCTACCTTACGGGAATTACACACCTCAGTCCACATGTCCTCATCCTGCATTACCTACCTGCTAATTGGTTTGGTTTTTTGTTCTCAGTAATCTCAGTTAAGACCACTAAAACACTGAGTCCTCGCCAGGTTGTGACAATGTTAGAGCTCATACAGAAACAGCTCCAGGGTTGTTTTGTGCAGGACACAGGCCAAAAGTATTCTCCTCTTACCGTCTTTCTCCACCAGAGTGAAAGGCTCTGTGTCCCAGCCGTCACTGATGTTTGCTGGCTGAACATCAAGGTGCCCGTAAATACACACCGTCTTCTTGGCTGGGTCTGATCCTAACTGCCCCAGGATGATAGGAGGCAGGGGGATCTCCTCTCCCGAGGGAAGCTGTATGAATAATGATTTATGGTGAAATTTAAGTTAAAAAAGATAATGTAAAATACAAATCATTAATGCATTAAGAAATGTAACCAGTGCAAGACCTTCTGCTTGCCAACGTCCACCAACTCCACAGTCCCTCCCAGCCTCTCGATGTCCTTGGCTGCCATCTCCATCATTTTTTTGATCCCCCCGCGCTTCTCAGGCCAAGCAGAAACACTCTGGACACTCACCCACTCAGCGAGGCGCTGAGGACAATTATAAATAAGTGATTTAAAGACATTAAAATCCTTTTTTTTTTTTTTTTTTTTTTTTTTTTTTTTACTATTTCATGAAGTTACTGATTGCAAAAGAATGAGCCAATGTGAGTGACTCTTAGGACATTAGACCCACAAAGATTTGATTCAAGCAGCAGTTACAGTATTACTGAATCTTATCAGGAAAACTGGTTTTACAGTTGGCACCTACTATAATCCAAGTTTAAGTGAATAAGTTGCAAATCTGTCCAGTTTTCAGGTAGCTCAATAAGCCATTAAATCAAGTGACAATCATACAAAAAACGCAATAATTAAACAGCTGCAATTTGTTTTTTTTCCTGAGTGATCTTACCTGCACATACAGGTCCTGGTGGTCGTCCACATACTTGCAAAGTTCTGTGAGATGAGCCATTTTTGCCAGGAACGAGAGCTGAGGGTTAAACAAGCAGACAGGTGCGAGTACACCTCTGGGTTTGTGCAATCTTATGAGAGGACAAATCCTTCATGCACGCATGCACTTCACGTAAATGATGAGATTTCCAGCCAAACTCATTTCACTTCATAATTTTGCAGAACTATAGCTGCAGCCGTTTGGGGCTTTAATGCCAGGCTTTCAGAAAAAAACAGTGAGAAAAAAAGCTAACACCTATGAGGCTTACATTACAAATTTTTACCATAAAATGACAATAAAATAGAATTCGCATTTCAGATCTGCACAAAAGGTTAAATGTGGAGTTTATTTGTTTTTTTCTTAGAATAAAACAGCAGTTAATGTAGTCTGATTGATAGCCTTTTTGAAGAGGTAAGATGTCCATTCATTCTGTGAAGAAAGCCATAAATGACGATTTAATTGTGTCATGCTGAGGGAGAATCTGAAAATAAGCCATGAAAATTTCACATGGAGGTTATTTTTCACAGGTGTGCACTGAATGCCAACAATGGCAAGTGAAGTGAGTGTAATCGCTAAGTAAAGCGAAAGTAAAACGGCTAGGTAACACATCAGAGATGCTGCCTTAAGGTGACTGAGACCTAATCTAGCCCTCTCTGACAAATACTTTTCCTGGGTGAAGGAAACGGCTTCCAGGGCCTAATCCGTGGATCGACTTCCTCCGAGGCGTGGACGTCTATCAGCAGAGAATGTCCCTTAGTCCGTAACACAGTCAAATATATTCTCAAGTAATATTCAAGCATGCCATTCAGCGTGTTAGTACGAGCTCGGGAGCAGCTTGGGAGAACAAGAAAACAGAGACTGCTTCAGGTTGTCTTCCCAAATCGACTCAACTTTATTCACAAGTACAACAGTTTATATAGAGGGTAAAATTCATGAGACAGCAGATTATCAGTTTAAACCAGTACAGACCAAGATAAGGGAGCGTCTTCCTGCCCTTGGGTGAAGAAGCATCCTTTGTGTAGTTTATCAGTTCAGCTACAATTGTGATTATCTCAGCGACATATTTTCAAGGCACAAAATAAAGAGTTCTTTCATTAGTGAAATCTGAAACAAACCATCTGGCCTTCAACAGGCGTCTCCTAAAAGATTAAGAAACTAATGTAGCTGAGGGAGTGATCTCTGTGGTATTTCAACCTTGTACCAGCCTGTGATTCTCACACATCAATTCTTGGGTCAAAGAGAAAAATAACTAAAACAAAGGGGCCTTATTGAATGACAGAGTTTTCCTGTATAATGTCACTATAAAACAATATCCAGTAAATGCTCCCATGGTACTAAAATACCTAACACTGGGCATGTCTGAACTGCAAAGAGAACCATTAAAATCAGACTTACTTTGTTTTTATTCCGGTGTTTCAGATTGACTACTGTTGGTCAAAGATATATGTGCCAGACTTGCTTTTCAGTAGCCGCTAACAAACCAGGAAATGAACGCAGTTCACTACGTCTTTAAAGATGCATTCATGTGCTTGTTGTTTTTGTTTTGTTTTAGAATTTAAAAAAAAGAGTAAAGAGCATGTCATTTTACCGGGCGACGCTAAACGCCGAAGATCAGGTTGAAGGTGTGTGCGCAGTGTGGAGCAGGGAAATTATTTTACTGCTATTGGTAAATAATCATCAACATTACTATTGCATTAATAATATAATCTGCAGCATTGATATTGTATTCAGAGGTTTAAACAGTGTGTGTGTCTTTCAGAAAACACACACACACTTAGTTAAAGAGAATCATTTATAGGTGGAAGTTTAATCATGTTTTGCTTGGGGTTGCAAAAAGAGCAGTTTGTCGCAGAACTGCTGCTGAGGTGTCAAGATGACAAGCAAGCATCCGGCAGTGACAGGATGTACCTGCCATGGAGACGAAGACAACGTTCTTTTAAACTGTGTTAAAAGTCATTGTGGTTTTGATTTGACGTATGCATATATTCTGTCTGTGACGTATGAAGGGGCGTCATTAATTCAAACCCTGATGGTATATCTGCTTATGCTTTGATTAAGTTGAAGATCAATCCCTGTCTGCGTACAGACTGGTCTTCCCACGTGTGTATTCATTAAAATCAATTGTTTGACCAAGATCTTGGACCATGATTGTTTGCACTCTCCTTCCTCAATTATGTGAACCTTAACAGCAGGTTAAAGCAGTAGTTCCCCAAAGGAAATTTTTTGCTAGCCCCCCCCCCCACACACACACACCCACCCAAATGTTGTTTTCATACTCCATTGCACTTTATTCCACACCCCAAACCTTCAATTAAACAAATAAACTAAATAAATTACAGGTTGCAATAAAATAAAATTGCAATAAAATTATACCATTTTATGGTGTATTTTACGTATAGTTGTTTTGTTGTTGTTTGTTGTTTTTATTTTGTAAGAATATTCAACATTGCTGTCAATACATTTTTCCAAAAAATGTCTCTCTGTGCAAAATGGGTTTAAAAACATAAACAACTGTGGGATACTGTTTGTCTGTGATTTGGACAGCCCAGCTTCTGCTCCCGACGCAGGGGAAATAAATTCTGTCGGGGATACCGACCTTGGCACCGCCGTTGTGCAGGTGAAGCCAAAGGCAAGATATGCGTCATCATGTTCTCTAGCCTTTGGCTTGGAAGGAAGCTGGTTTGGAAGCATATTTGGCGATACATCATCCCGTACTTTGCTTTTGGAAGCCCAGTCAAAAACCTGTACATTATGGTAGAAGTGTCCAAGCATTCTTTTTTTTTTTGATTCACACTGCCCCCCTGCAGTTGCTCTGCCCCCCTCCACTTTGGGAACCACTGGGTTCGATAAATGCTCTTACAGCCTTTGTTATGATTCCCACACAGTTTTGTGTGATGTGAAAACAACTACAGCACACTCACAGCGGATGTTAGTCCGCTCAACAATTTCGTGTTTCGAGTTTGGTGTTCAACACATCAGACACACCTGTGCCTGCAGCTGTTTCAGACTACTGCGATGACGTCATGTTACGTTGCACATGCGGCTGTCACACGGCACGTCAAACTGTATATCACCAGTTAACGTGGGTGTGTTTCCTAAATTAGCAACAGGTGTTTAACAGCTGACGGAGTGAACAGATGTGTACAGGTAAAGTCGAGGCACAACGCCTTTTGTTATGTTTTAATTTAAATAGTTTTATTGTTGTCTGAAGGTAATATTGATACTACGGTCAGATGAAGCCTCGAAGCTTTCCATCCAATTGGATAAAACAAAAGGTTTATTTCTTGAGACTTCATGTTCACACAATTCTAACTACCTTGCCTCTCTTTGTTACCATCCAAATACACTTCTCCAATGTCCAAATCACATTCCATTGTCATTGCTGTAGATCCTAGTGGTGTGGATCAGTGATTTTATGTCTCGTTCACTCCTGGAATACAGCTTGCTGTCATTCATGTAGAGGATTTGCTGATGATTACGCCTTTCTGTAGTTGGTATCCCTAGCCAGTCTTGTCAATGATCTCACTGAGGGGGTTCAGGCCTATGTGGAACAGCAGTGCGGACAGACCACCTCTTTGTTAAATTAATTGGTTTGAAGTTGGACTGTTGTTCACCACAACGCCATCAAATTTCTGATGAAGGCTCTTAGGATCCTGTTAATCTTGTATAGTTCAAGGCATTCCAGGATCCAGGTGTGGGGCATTGAGTCATAGGATTTCTGTAGTCAATCCAGGTGATGCACAAGTTGGTGAGCCTGATCTTGCAGTCTCCGGTTACTGTGCTTTCTACCAGTAGCTGGTGTTTCTGCCAATTCCTTTCCGTGCCCTGCTCAAGTATTGAGCCATATGCCTGTTCATCTTAGCCGCTATGATGCCAGACAGGAGCTTCCATATGGTACTGAGGCAGGTCATTGACCGGTAGTTGGATGGGACCAGTCCCTTATGGGGATCTTTAGGAATCAGGACTGTCCGGCCTTCAGTGAGCCATTTTGGATGTGTCACATCTACTGCTGGTTTATTTGTGCGACCAGACACTCACGGAGTGCAGCCAGTAGGCGTGAATCATGTTCAGTCCTGGTGCTGTCCAACTCTTCATACTGGAGACCTTTTCTTGTATGTCTGCCACAGTGATTGTTACTGGATCCTGTTCAAGGAGGGAGGCTGCTGTGCAGAAGAACACTAAACATGATTTTACCATTAGATCCTGACCTCAAGCGTAACAACTAGGGCCCAGGGTAGATTTTTTTTGGGACCTTAGTGTCACATTGTACAATGAACCCGATCTGAGGTCTAACTTTATTCCTCCTGCCTGGCAGGATTCCTTTTCTCTCTCACTGTCTCCTAACATGCCTTCCCTCTTTCTTCTGTGTCCTTATTTGTCTTTGGCCAACTGTAGCAGTTTCCACAGAAACCCTACTGGCCAACAGCACCAGAGGTGATTGTTGTTAACCCGGGCCTTAAACGATCCGGTATGGAAATCTCATTCTTTATGAGCTGCATTTTTTGATTTGGCCAAGATTTTAGACTCTTCCTGACACAACCATCTCCAATTATCTGGGCTTGTGTCTGGTACTAAAAGTACACTGGTTTGTGGAAGCCCCCATGGCTGGGTTGTGCACTTGAAAGAAAAAAGAAAAAAAAGTAGCATATAGTAAAAATCAGTATGTAGCATCAATACACCTTCTGATTACCATCATGGACTGCAATCAGAATACATGGTGGTATTTTCATCCTGCTCTCAGGAAATGGAATTATCTAAGGTTGTGATATAAACTCACCCAGATTTTGTCATGGGACTGTACTGAACTGATTTCAGGCGCAGAAACCCAGAGCAGAGACAGCAAATGATTTAACAATATTTTATTAGGCTTAAGCACTAGAAACATAGCAAGGACAAAAAGAAACAATAAGACAGAGTTTGACGTGGCATGGCCTGGGAAACGTGGCTAGGGTGAGGGAACAGGGCCTGAGATGCAGAATGGATATGAGCAGGGAACTGTCACATTGCAGTAGGGGACACAGAGTGTTGAGATGGGAGTGACGAGAATCCAGGGGAGCCGAGTGGTGTGGCGAGGCTGACCTGAGATCCAGGGTCTTCAGATGGAGTGTGATGGCAGGAGGGCAACCAGGTGAGGCACAGAGTGATTTTCAAAATGATTGCTTGGTATCCTGAGTCCAGAGGTAAAGCGCGAGCCAAAATGAATCCAGCAAATGGGTTGACGACAAACTGGCAGTGAATGAACATCAACATGTGGCTTAAATCCCTCTGGCTTGATTGCCTGCAATTGGCTCCAGGTGTGCAGGACCTGGACTTGGTGGTGGCCCTGCCCAGGGGCGGATCCCAGATAGGTTCAGGAGCCTTATGGAAATTCCAGCCACCCACAGCAGACTATGACAGATTTATCTTTCCTAAAGTAACATAAAGACAACTCATGTCTGAAACCATGGAACAAAAGGGACCACCCTATTAACCACAAGTCTTCATAAACTATCGACACACTCAAATTACAGTATGAATGCAAGACTGATTGAAGTGGTTGTTATGCTGTAATGTGGAAAACGCTAACACAGTAACAGTATTTGGTCATGCTGCTATCACTGATGCCTCAATCACATTTGACAGCTTCTAAATTAACCTTACAAAAATTTTACCCTATTATTGTGGGTTATGATGGTAAGCAGTGCACTGTATCAAAAGTAAATCCTATTACATCATGAAAAGAAAAGAAAAACAACTCAAATAAAGTAACAAAAACATGTTTATTATCAGCAGGGTGTATAAAACCGTTCATTGTGAAAAGTAAATCCACAAAGTTTATGGTCTGATATGGAGGATGAGCATATATTATACCTGTCATTATGAGAAACCATCAAATCACTCCAGCAGAGAGACCTCATGGAAGTATGCTCCCAGCAGCTTGACTCCCTGAATGTAGTTTGATCTGAAAATGGAGAAATAAAGCGATGATAATGGTTTATAATTAAAAAACTCACTTTACCTGTGATCACGTTTTGGCACAGAAATAATCTGGAGATGACAAACATGATCCTCTTCTTTTACCACAAGATTTCATCCGTTTTATCAATAGTTCCTACTTGTTCCACATTTCAAAAGAAGTGAAACGGTGTGAGCTGTGACCAACCTGTTGATCTTTTCATTCTGAGAGTGAGCTCCATCATCAGAGGACCCTATAGGAAGCAGCATGACATTACGGCCTGTGGCCTCCTGGAAGGTCAGGGTGACTGGGATGCTGCCGCCCTCGCGAGTCAGATCAGGCTCGACCCCGAACACTACAGCACAGCGAGGAGGATTAGACAATGTGAAACGCAGTCAAAATATGTCATAATAATAATGATAATAATAATAATAATATTATCATCATTATTATTATTATTATTATTATTAAATCTTTGTTGTCACATCAAAACTGGATATAATTCTATCAGTGGAAATATCTGAAAAATGCCAAAAAATGTTCACAAAAACATGCATTAAACAAAAAAGCTTATAAAGATATGTAGAAAAAAAGTTATGTTAAAAAAATTGCTTGTCCTTGTGTTTAATGTCCTGAAACATCTGCCAGGAGCTGAAACGTTTCCGCAGGTCCTTCCTCCCTGCAGCTGTCAGACTGTACAATCAGAACTGCTCCCAACAAACATAGATGTTTACATCTGCGCTGTAACTGCAATAAGTTAATTAACCGATTTGCACTACAACCTGGTTTGCCTCTTATCTGTAGTTATTTTTATTTAATTTAATAACTGTACAGTACTCTCTGTATATAGTAACCATTGTCCTTAATGTAAATATGTAAGAAAAATTGTGTATGTTTCTGTTCTGTGACCTGTGTACTGTTTGTTTGTATGTGTGTCTTTTTGGCTGCTGTTACAACCAAAATTCCCCTTGTGAGACAATTAAAGGATTATTCTATTCTATTCTATTCTATTCTAAACATGGCGAAATATCTGATTTGTCTTAAAGAAAAAGCATCACAATGTAAGCTGTAATAAAGTCAGTTGTACTATGGCAGGAGAAAGTGTTTTACACTTTTGTAATATAATAAACACAGCTGATTTGAGCTTCGTAGCAAGATAACAGAAATGGGTGCGATTGAGTGAACTCCCGCTTTAATCTAACAGCTTTTATCATTAAGTCCCTGTACCTGTCTTTATGGCCTTTCTCCCTGCCATGTAGTGTGGGTGGTTGAAGTCTGAGACCCAGGCTTTGGCCCCGTGGCCCATGTTCACTTTCAGTTTATTGGGGGTTCCCAGTTCAGCAAACTTCTTCTGCAGATGATCGATGACCTTGAAGAGGGGAAGATAACTTAGACTTGTTGAAGCTTTTATGCAGAAACAACCTGAAGCTAATCATGTGGCTACTTCCAAGTGGCCCACAGTCAGTCCAGGCTCAGATTTAAGTACTAAAACTTAACTACATCTCTTTGTCATGTTAATTCAGAGTCAGTTCTAATAAACTCAATATGTGTGAGATACAGAGCGACCTCTGCTACATTGTAACTACTTGATTATAAAAAGATGACTTGATTTAGGTGAGTGTTGTATGCCATCATTGTGACCTATCACAGTGTTTACCTGCTTCTCCACATCTCTAGGGTCCATGTCAGGCACAAGGCGGATGGAAAACTTGCCGATGACCTTGCGAGGAATAACCGTCTTGGCTCCTGCTTCAGAGAAAGCCCCCTCAATACCATGAAGGGAAAGAGAAGGATATCTCCAGCAGTGCATGAGGATTTGCTCCTATGGTGGAAAAAATAATGAAAAATAGGTTCAAAAAGTGTGAATGACCCCACATTATACAGCACATTTCCACCAATGAGTGATGCGAAAAACATATATAATTTCTTTGCCTTTGTGTCATGCAGCAGCTGGTCAACCCCGCCATCTTTACAGTACTCATCCAAGTCAAAGTCAATCTTCTCGTACAGCTTTTGCTCCTCTGCTGTCAGAGGCGCCACACTGTCATAGATCCCAGGAACCAAAATCTTACCCCTTTTGTCAACCAGGGAGCCTGTGCAGGAAGTCACAAACACATGATTAAAACTCTAAACTGGCGTAAAATAAGGTGTGTGAGACTAAAAATCACAATTATCAGCTTCACTTGCCCATAAGTGCGATGAGGTCAGTCATGGCCTCATGAACAGAGCCACCAAACACCCCTGAGTGCAAGTCCTTTTCAGCGCACTCCACCTTGAAGTTTGAACGTAAAACATTATTTTAAAAAACACAAAAAGCTCAAGTATACCCCTCTTAAATTGAAACACTGTCCCCACCCCCCAACAACAATAATCCAATACTCCACCTCAATGAAGAAATAACAGATTCCTCTCAGGCCGTAGGTGATGCAGGGTTTGTTCTTGCCCAGCCAGTCGTTGTCAGAGATGCAGATGTAGTCCACGTCTTTAAAGAAAGTGTCCTTTCTAGAAAACACAAGATCATCCAGACCCTCAGATCCAGATTCTTCCATCCCCTCGAAGCAGAATTTGATGTTGATGGGAAGGTCCTGCAACAAGAAGAGAGATACATAAGAAAAAAAATTTAGGCTCATTTTCTAGAGTAGAAATAATCTTTTAACAACCAACAATCTGCCAATCAGTGGTGTACTTTAACACAGCGGTCCCCAACCTTTTTTGCGCCACGGACCGGTTTGTGCCCGACAATATTTTCACTGACCGGCCTTTAAGGTGTCGCGGATAAATACAACAAAATAAAACTAGTACCGGTACCGAAAAAAAGATCTATTCATAACACACGTGAAAAGACCCAGGAAAACAGAGTTAATGGAAAAAAAAAACGATAACAACCCTGAAAACCATACATTTCGCACCAGAGTCTCAACTCTCGCGGCTCAGTACCGGTCCGTGGCGCGGGGGTTGGGGACCGCTGCTTTAACGCACAAATAGAATAGAATAGAATAGAATAGAATAGCACTTTATTGTCATTGTACATGTACAATGAATTTGTGGGTGCTCCACTGAATAAATGTAAATAGTAGACAGCAGGAATGCATGTTTTACATTTCTCAAAATGAGCTAACAAAGCTAAATATGAGTCCAGACTAAGGATTTAATTGATGATCTTAGGTGTGATATTTTTTATATAGATAAAAATAAATACTGTACATTCACCAGCTGGGATTTACTTTCTCTGACTAAACACCCATTAATGAAATTCCTAACTAAGGATATACTCTAATTTTATAGCTAGATAAGGTCACATTTTTGTAAATAGGCTAAAATTATATTTTTAAAATAGTACAAATGACCTGCATATCTTTTTAGAATACAGTGATGTATAGTAGCTATTCTGCTTTATCATCACTGTACAAAAAAAAAAGAAAAACATTAATGACATTTTAGTATCAGTGCACATTTACAGATTCTGAAATATACCATCACACCTCAATATACTCCTGTCAGTAATTTCACTTCAGTGTTTAAACACAGCCAACTTAGCATGTTAAGCCACTTCAGGGTTGTTTTAGGACACACTAAAATATCATATCATCTTTAAACTATCTGAACTTGAAACACCTTTTGTTGGCCAGCTTAAATCTGGCAGTAACTGTACCTTTCCGATCTTCTGATACGCTTCAATGCAGTTAAACCAGGCCAACACTGGACCCTTGTCATCATTAGATCCTCTTCCATAGAGCTTACCTACAAAAAGAAAACTTTATTTCAGTTTCAAGGTTCTAATGAGAAGATAGTGGAGTTGAAAAATGATACTAAGGTTATGTTTATTACGTAGTCAGCAGACGACAGTGCCCCGTTTTAAGCTTGTTTAAATCATGACTAAGATTATGTGTAATGATATGAAATCCTTTTTCATGATACAAAAAATGATCTGCAGCAGGTTTTTGTAAAATGTGACATAAGCAGCACTAACACAGCTGAGGCAGGCAGGAATGATACAGCGAGAAGAGGATGTGGCATTTTGTGTCATCTGACTCTCACCAGAAAACACACAAGACTACGCGTGCTCAATTTTGTGGCTCTAAAAAAACCCAAACCTCTCCTACCTGTCCCGTCAAAAAAGTTTTTTAAATGCAAACATGTAGGGTAGAGCAGCAAAAATTATTAGGTTACCTTGTGCTACACAGTATTAAAGAGTCTGTAAGATCGTGCACAACAGAGTCAATCTGTGTTGTTTAACACAAAACAAAGAAGCCTTAAAGGGTTAAAATTATTCAGGTGCAGCTTTTGCATTACTGTGTGGAGCATAACAAAGCATAGACACCAATTCAGGAATGCTGCAGTGACTTAGTTATGTGAACAAACAAATGCACAGTCTGTGAAATAAAGGACCAGTCATGACTCACAAGGGAAAGTAAGTAAGTAAAGTAAGTAAAGTAAAATTTTATTTATATAGAACCTTTCAAGATAAAATCACAAAGTGCTTTACAAAGGCAGAAAACAGACATTAAAATCTAAAACAAAACAAAATCAACCAAAAGCGGGTTTAAACAGATACGTTTTAACTGCTTTTTAAAAGACATGACTGAGTCCACAGATCTCAAACTCAAAGGGAGCGAGTTCCAGAGTCTGGGAGCCACTGATACAAACGCTCTGTCACCTTTTGTTTTTAACCTTGTATGCGGGACAGCCAGCAACCCCTGGTCACAAGACCTCAGGGACCTGCTGGGGTGATAAGAAAGAAGAAGATCACTTAAGTAAGTTGGAGCTCCACCGTGCAGGGCCCTATAAGTCATGATTATGATCTTAAAATGGACCCTGAACTTGACAGGGAGCCAATGCAGCTGAATCAGCAGGGGAGTGGCATTGGAGTATTTGTGATGCTTTATCAGAAGCCTAGCAGCAGCATTTTGAACACCCTGCATTCGTTCCAGGGAGGCATTACTTAAGCAAGTAAACAAGGAATTACAATAGTCTAAGCGAGATGAAACAAAAACATGAATAATCATTTCCAATTCGGAACGTGACACAATGGGACTCAGTGATATTTCTTAAATGGTAAAAACAAGAGCAAACCAAAGATTTAACATGTGTGTCCAGCGTCAGAGCTGGATCAAATGTAACACCAAGATTCCTAATGGAGGATTTAATATAAGAAACAAGAGGGCCTAGATTTTTAACCACAAGGAGAACAAATTTCTCAGGAGAAAAGACAATGACTTCGGTTTTATCAGCATTTAGTTGAAGGTAATTACCAGCTATCCAATCTCTAACGGAATCTAAGCAGGACTGCAAGATTTGGAGCTTAGAAACATCAGGTGGCCTAAAAGAGATATATAGCTGAATATCATCTGCATAACAATGATATGAAATATCAGAGAAAGAGCTAAGAAGTTGCAGAAGAGGGAGTAAATACAACAAAAACAATAACAGTCCCAAGACAGAGCCCTGAGGCACCCCATAGGCAAGAGAGCTGACGGAGGATGTGAACTTAGAGGTAGCCACAGAGAAAGATCGATTTGACAAATAGGATTTAAACCATTTCAATGCGGTACCTGATACACCCACCCAGTGGTTTAATCTATATAACAAAATAAGATGATCAACAGTGTCAAAAGCAGAGGTCAGATCCAGCAACATCAAAACAGTGCACTCTCCAGCATCATAATTCATCAAAATATCATTAGACACTCTAAGAAGTGCAGTTTCGGTAGAGTGAGCCTTACGAAAGCCAGATTGAAATTTATCAAGAATGTTATGTTCATCTAGAACAACTGTGAGTTGCTTGGCCACAACCTTTTCTAAAATCTTGGCAATAAAAGGCAATTTTGAGATAGGTCTGTAACTGGAAAGCAAAGAAGGATCAAGTTTAGGCTTTTTTAAAAGTGGGTGAATGACAGCACTTTTACAGTAACCAGGGACCTGACCAGAGAGTAGAGATGCATTAATAATTTTAAGAACACTAGGATCAATAGACTCAAAAACATTTTTGAACAAAGACCCAGATAAAATATCAAGGGGGCAGGAGGATGATCTCATTGAAGTGACCAGCTTCAACAACTCAGGTAAAGACACTGGTGAAAATCTTTCAAATCTGACAGGCTTAAGTAAAATCGGAACAGGCAAATGGTACATGGAGGGAGAGATTTTGCTCCTTACATTGCTAACCTTTTCAACAAAAAGGAAAGAAAATTTTCACAGTCTTCATTCGAAGAAATTGGGACAGCAGCAGAAGCCGGAGCAACAATATCCCTAATAGTGTCAAATAAAACCTTAGGGTTACCTCTTCTCCTAGAGACTAGGTTTGAAAAATAAGCAGCCCTTGCATCACGAATTGAAGCGTTAAAAGAAACTAAAAGGTCTTTTAAATGAAAGAGATGAACCTGTAAACAAGTCTTTCTCCACAAACGCTCAGTTTTACGACAGACAGGCTTTAAACAGCGAATGCTGTAGTTTATCCAGGGCGAGGGTTTTGTAACAGGGGGCTAGTCTAGTTTTAATATAACTTCAAGATGAAAGATAAAAAGTTACTGAATTCCTTTAAAATTTGACCGTTAGGTCCAGGTGGACAATAAACTACAGCACAGTAACACGGATCTTTAATTCCAATTTTAACCAGCTGTAGTTCGAACGTTGACATTTTTTTAACCATCAATGAGCGACAGTGAAACCAATTTCAATACACCACAGCCAGTCCTCCGCCACGATCAGAAGTCCGCGGCCGACTGACAAAGGAGTACCCGCCCAGGCAAAGTTCGATAAGGGAAGAATAGTCACCATCACGCTTCCAGATTTCAGTTAAAAATAATAAGTCCAGTTTTTTGGAAAGAATAAGATCATTCAATAAGAACGTTTTATTTGTCATAGATCGGGCATTGAGAAGCGCCACGCTCAACAATTAATAAGTCAAAACATTACCGACACTGACCCGTTTTAGGGGGCGTAGAAACTGGGGGTTCGATCACTTGAGCCTTTTTGCCTTTTCACTTGCAGAGTCTGTTTCACCATTCTGTCATGTGACCTGCTGAGGTTACCTGAGGCAAGGTGTGAGTGGAGGTTGAAGTGCCCAAATAGGATCTCAAGTGTAGGTGGCTGACAGCTGGTGTTCTAATCCACCACCTCCGTTCAACGATGGTCTTTCACAGTAACAACCTTTGCACAATCTTTGAAGCTTTGCTAAATGGAAGTGTTCAGGCAAGGTCTCAACCTTAAACTCATATGATGGTAATGGCCCACATCTTGTTTTCTTCACATCTTGGCTAATGTGATGACTCGCATGATCAACAACCCTCAGAACCTCCTGAGAAAAACTATTAGGGGTTAAATACCTGAGACACAACCATTTGTTTTAGAACTGAAAAAATCTCTTGGATGAGAATTTAAAACTTAAAGAAGGCCAACAGCCTTCTTTTTTCAAGCTCTCAATATACTTCTGTGACTTGTTTTATATTTCTTATCTTTACCTGTTAAAAATACATTCACCCAGTGTTCCCAGTCTACATAGTTAAGCTTGTTGATAGCATGTTTTCTCTTAGTTATGCTACCTTACAGGATTCGCACACCTCACTCCACACATCCTCATCCTGCATTACCTACCTGTTGATTGGATTTGGATTTGTTTTCAGTATTCTCCTCTTACCGTCTTTCTCCACCAGAGTAAAAGGCTCTGTGTCCCAGCCGTCACTGATGTTTGCTGGCTGAACATCAAGGTGCCCGTAAATACACACCGTCTTCTTTGCTGGGTCTGATCCTAACTGCCCCAGAATGATAGGAGGCAGGGGGATCTCCTCTCCCGAGGGAAGCTGCATGAATGAAACTTAATCTGAGTGACCATTTAAAAACAAGGTCCATTTATGGTGAAATTTAAGAAAAGAAAGATCATGCAATATGCAAATCATTAACCCATTAAGAAAAGTAACCTTCTGCTTGCCAACGTCCACCAACTCCACAGTCCCTCCCAGCTTCTTGATGTCCTTGGCTGCCATCTCCATCATTTTTTTGATCTCCCCGCGCTTCTCAGGCAAAGCAGAAACACTCTGGACACCCACCCACTCAGCCAGGCGCTGAGGACAATTATAAACAAGTAATTTAAAGAAATTAAATTAAAAATGGGTTTTTTATACCTTTTATAATTTTTTCTTTTCTTTTCTTTTTACTATTTCATGCAGTTAATTATTGCACAAGAATGAGCCAATGTGAGTGATTTTTAGGACATCAGACCCACAAAATTTAACTCAAGCAGCAGTTATAATATCACTGAATCTTATCAGGAAAACTGGTTTTACAGTTGGAACCTACTATAATCCCAGCTTAAGTGAATGAGTTGCAAATCTGTCCTGTTTTTAGTTAGCTCAATATGCCATTAAATCAAGTGACAATCACACAAAAAACTGAATGATTAAGCAGCTGCACTATATAGTTTTTTCTGAGTGGTCTTACCTGCACATACAGGTCCTGGTGGTCGTCCACATACTTGAAAAGTTCAGTGAGATGAGACATTTTTGGTAGTGATGGGAGCTGAGGGTTAAACGAGCAGACTGGTGTGAGTCTACGTCTGGGTTTGTGCAATCTTATGAGAGGACAAATACTTCATGTACGCATGCACTTCACGTAAATGATGAGATTTCCAGCCAAACTCGTTTCACTTCATAATTTTGCAGAACTATAGCTGCAGTCGATTGGAGCTGCAGGCTTTCAGAACAAAACAGTGAGAAAAAAGCCAACACGTATAAGGCTTACATTACAAAGCTTTGCCATAAAATGACAATAAAAGAGAATTCTCATTTTAGATCTGCACAGAGGTTAAATATGGAATTTTTTTTTTTAGTTTTATTTGGGTAAAATGTCATTTAATTGTGTCAAGAAAGCCATAAATGACGATCAAATTGTGTCATGCTGAGTGAGAATCTGAAAATAAAAAATGAAATACTCACATCGTAATTTTCCACAGGTGTGCACTGAATGCCAACAATGGCAAGTGAAGTGAAAGTATCTTGAGTGTAATCGCTAAGCAAAGCGAAAGCAAATCAGGTAGTGTTGTGTGGTGTTAGTTCAGCAAGCATTACACACACGCAGGTAGGAACAGAGGATTACCGGAGTTGACTCCTTTCTTTATTTTTCTTTTTTTTCTTCTTCAAAACCACAACCAGAACAACATACTCACTAGCGCCCTCTAGCCCTTCTGGTAAATGCATCTACAGAACAAATGCAATAGTATGTGTGGACACAACATCTCCCCCTTTGAACAAGGATTTCTTATGTGAACCTGACTTCACCATTCTGATGTATGTCACCTAATACACTTTTAACATATTTCACATTACTCAGTAACATTCACTTTCCCATGACAAAGTCTTGGGTCCAGCAAGGTGGGTTCCTCATCCTGGTGGGCCTAAGCCTACTATCAGACTCAGAGTTAGATGCTAGATCAGTTCCTGGTTTATGACAGTCCATTGTTGTGTCAGAATCAGTACCTGCGTTCAGCTCTGACAGAGCCGATAAGTGTGAGGCGTTCCAGGTCCGTCCATCATCCAGCAAATAAGTGTTTGGTCCTTTCCTTGTCATGACAGTCCTTGGTTTGGAAAACTTTAACTCGCCTTTCTTTACCTTCCACGGCTTCCTAACCCGTACCTTGTCACCAGGCTGAAAGTTGGATGGTTTGGCGTGTCTGCGAGCATCAGTGTATTCTTTCATTTTCATTTGCTTATTCTTAACTCTTTCGCACATGGTATGCCTCTCTGTCTGAGGAACAGGCATATCCATTACCTGTAACTTTGTTCTCATTCGTCGTCCATGGAGCAGTTCTGAAGGGGAAACTCCAGTTGTTGAATGAGGGGTTGCTCTGTAGTCCATCAGGTAAGTTCTCAGGAACGATTTCCAGGGTTGTCCTTGAATCGAGGCAGTCTGTAGGCAGTCTTTAATGCATCTATTGAATCTCTCAACTTCCCCATTAGCTCTTGGGTAATACACTGAGGATCTCAGGTGTTGGATTCCCCTGCTTTTCAGGAAGTCAGTGAACTCAGCAGAGAGAAATTGAGAGCCATTGTCACTTATCAGTGTCTTTGGATTCCCTTCACGAGAGAAAACTACAGAAAGGAATTGAATGATAGTAGCTGCATCAGCTCGGGGAGCAAAAGCTACTTCAGGCCACTTGCTAAAGTAGTCTACCAATGTGATGGCAAATCTACAGTCAGAAGGGGCTATTTCAAAAGGGCCTATGATGTCCACAGACACCTTTTCCCAAGCAGCAGCTGGTAAAGGAATGGGTTGGAGTGGAGCATCATGGGTGACAGCGGACTTGTCATTCTGTCTGCACGTTGCACAGTTCTTTATCAGTGTCTCTATATGACAATCCATTTTGGGCCACCAGTACATTTCCCTCAGGCGTTGTTTGGTACGGACGATGCCTTGGTGAGTTTCATGAGCTATATCAGTGAGTTTTTCTGCAACGACTCAGGCACTAGCAATCGATGTGTACCTCTGATGATGCACTCGTTCAAGACCGCGAGTTCATGGCGGATTGGGAAGTACGGCTGTAAGTCAGGATCCAGTGACGTCTTCCTAGCAGGCCAGCCTTTCTGTATCTGCACACGGAGCTTTGTGAACACTGGACAGTCTTTGCACCCTGACTGGAAGTCATCCTCAGACACAGCACTCAGATCAGTGAGGATGGCTGCAACTGACTCCCCATCCTCTGCACATGCCATGTCTGTCTCGGAAAGTGGAAGCCTAGAAAGACAATCAGCAACATGGTTCAGTGACCCAGTTCTATATTCCACTTCATAATCAAACTCCAACAGGCGAGCTGACCATCTGGCTATGCGTAGACCAGCTCTGTTATTGCCCTTAGTAGTCAGCAGTGTTGTCAGTGCTTGGTGATCTGTTCGTAGGAGGAATTTTCTGCCCCAGAGCCATGTGCGCCATTTTTCAGCAGCCCAGACGCAAGCTAGAGCTTCCTTCTCAACGATTGAGTATTTCCTCTCTGCATCAGACAAGCTGCGAGATGCAAATGCAACAGTATGTTCTGCATCATTACCGTCAAGTTGAGTCAAAACAGCACCTACACCGTAGTCTGAGGCATCTGTTGAGACTATGGTTGGCTTACTGGGGTCAAACATCACCAGGGCAGGGCTGTGCACAATTAACCGCTTGACTTGATCAAACGCTGCTTGAGCTGCTTCGTTCCAGTGGAATGAACAGTCCTTACGCAGAAGAGCTCTCATAGGTTCAACAACAGTCGCGTAATTTGGCACAAACTTGCTGTACCATGCACTCAAGCCAAGAAATGAGCGCAGGGTTGCAGGATCAGTAGGGGGCGGAGCATGCAGGATGGCAGTGACATGAGAGTCATCTGGCAGCAGACCTTCTGGACCGATCTTTTGACCCAAAAAGCTCAGAGTAGTTTGACGGAGTTGACATTTGTCAACATTGAGTTTCAGTCCTGCATTGTTGATTCTGTGTAACACAGCACGCAAGTTGGCCTCATGTTCAGCTTCTGACGTTCCGTATATGATGACATCATCAAGGTAGCATTGCACCCCTTTCTGGCCGCGTAGGATTTGTGTCATCATCTTTTGGAAGGCTGCAGGTGCTGAACTCAACCCATAGGGAACTCTGCAGTACTGGTACAGTCCTTCATGTGTAATGAAAGCAGTGAGCCCTCTACTCTCTTCATGTAGTTTCAGCTGATGGTAGGCGGATTTTAGATCCAGGGTGGAGAACATGACAGCCCCACGCAGCTCAGACAGTATGTCCTCTATCAGTGGCAAGGGATGACTGTCAGCGACCACCGCTTTGTTAGGTTCTCTCAAATCAACGCACATGCGTATGCCACCAGTCTTCCTTCTAGTGACTACAATCGGGGAGACCCATTCAGATGCATCAATTTTCTCTATGATGCCATGTTCCTCAAGGTTCTTGAGTTCTGCGGAAACAGCATCACGGACTGACTGGGGTAAGCGTCGAAGTTTCTGCTGTATTGGCTTCACTTCAGGTCGCACCTTCACTTTATGTACAAAGTCCTTTGCACATCCGAATGCAACTGGAGACTCACATTCCTGTTTACATTGAGTGGGCAGAGCCGAGGTTTGCTGGAGTGCAGCACAGACCTTGGGACTGTCAAGAACTAATTGTCCCCCTTTTATGTGTAGCTGGAGGGCAGTCACCAAGTCCATTCCCAGTATGGGTGTTCCTGTTCTCACAATGTAGAGATCTGTGGAGGCACTCTTGCCATTGTAAGTAACTTACATTGTTTCACGAGCTCACGCAGTGCTGCAACGTAGTGATCTGTAGACTCACCGACAGCTTGGGCTCGTTGCCTGAAACGGTATCTCTCGGCGACAACATTGACTTTAGGATGAAAGTACGTTTCCAAAGCCTTTACGGATCCCTCGTAATCATCCGTAGCGAGTGGTAAGGCGCTGTAGATTCGTTGTCCCTCCGTTCCCAAGCAGTGAATGAGCAGGGCCCTCTTCCTCTCTGTAGCAAAGTCATTACCCCCGATCGCCAGCAAGTAGTTATCGAACAACTTTTTCCACGCAGCAAATGGAATTTTCGGTTCGCCCGGGCAATCCAGGAACACAGCCGGGGGTTGCAAAGAGAGCAGAGCCATAACTTAATCACCACTACTCTCGTCGCCACTTGTTGTGTGGTGTTAGTTCAGCAAGCATTACACACACACGCAGGTAGGAACAGAGGATTACCGGAGTTGACTCCTTTCTTTATTTATTTTTTTTTTTCTTCTTCAAAACCACAACCAGAACAACATACTCACTAGCGCTTCTGGTAAATGCATCTACAGAACAAATGCAATAGTATGTGTGGACACAACAGGTAGGTAACACTCCATAGCTAAGACCTTATCTAGCCCTCTTTGACAAATACGTTTCCTGGGCATGTCTGAACTGCAAAGGGAACCATTAAAATCTACCTGTCCCATAAAACAGCCTTACTTTGTTTTTATTCCGGTGTTTCAGATTAACTGGTGTCACAGATTGACTGTTGGTCGAAGATATGTGTGCTAGACTTGCTTTTCAGGAGCCGCTAACAAACCAGGAGAACGCAGTCAATATTTCGTCTTTAAACATGCATTCGTGTGCTTGTTGTTTTTGTTTTGTTTTGTTTTGTTTTAGATTTGAAAAAAAGAGTAAAGAGCACATGATTTTATCGGGAGACGCTAAACCCCAAAGAACAGGCTGAAGGTGTCTGCGCTGATAGGTTAAAGCAGTGGTTCCCAAACTTCTTCTGCTAGGGCCCCCTTTAAAAGCATTTTTGTTCATGTTTTTAAGACCCTTCTGTGACTTGTTTTGTGTTTCTTATCTTTGCCTGTTAAAAATACATTCACCCAGTGTTCCTAGTCTACAAGAAAATCTTGCCCCCCTGTAAAAAATTACAGGCTGCAATAAAATAAACCACTAAACTAACCATCTTTAACGTTTAATTATTTTATTTTACGTGCCCCCTCCACTTTCGGAACCACTGCCTTTGTTATGATTCCCACACACTTTTGTGTGATATAAAAAAAAAACACTACAGCACACTCAGAGTGGATGTTAGACTGCTCAACAATTTTGTGTTTCGAGTTTGGTGTTTAACGCATCAGACACACCTCTGCCTGCAGCTGTCAATGTTTTCAGACTACTGCGTTGACGTCATGTTACCTTGAGCATACGGTTGTCACACGGCACGTCAAACTGTGACTATCATCAGTTAACGTGGGTGTGTTGGCTCCTGATTTATGTTGCAGAAACAGAGATTAAAGATCAGGCACAACACCTTTTGTTATGTTTTTATTAAAATAGTTTTATTGTTGTCTGAAGATAATATTGATACTACTGATGGTCAGATGAAGCCTCGAAGCTTTCTGTCCAATTGGTTAAAAACAAGGTTTCATTTCTCGAGACTTTATGTTCACACAACCCCACACCCCCTGCTGGTCAAAACCTTTATTGTCATTTCAACTATTTATCTTTACTCTTAGCTGTCTTACAGCAGTGTCGGTGAGAATAATTATAGCCAAGTATAGAAATAAAAAACACTTTAATAATCTAATCCTTCTGTGCATATGGTTCATTCATTTATTAATCTAGTAAGATCTTGGGTGTTGTTCCTGGGATCTGCTAGAGCCACTCACCCAGCTTGGGGGTCTGTTGCCTTCACTTTCAACCTGGACAGTGGTTTTGACACTCGCTAGTCCTCAGTGTCCTTCCTTCCACTTAGCGTACTGTTTCATGGTGCTGGGTTTGGGGTGAAATCCCACATGCATGCTCAGGAGCTTCCTTTTCTTGATGTTAGTTGCTTCTGTCTCCTTCTTTGGTCAGCTTATTATCCTAGCAGGGTATCTGATCACCGGTAGAGCGTAGGTGTTAATTGCCCGGACATTCTTCTACCCATTCAGCTGACTTTTCAGGACTTGCCTTACTATGTGGATGTCCCAGGTACCTATAGCTGTCCTCGATGTCTGCAATGTTGCCTTCTGGTTGTATAATCCCCTCAGTTCTAACCGCCTTCCCTCTCTTTGTTACCATCCAAATACACTTCTCCAATGTCATTGCTGTAGATCATAGTAGTGTGGGTCAGTGAATCGATGTGTCGTTCACTCCTGGTATACAGCTTGCTGTCATTCATGTAGAGGATTTGCTGATGATTTTGCCTTTCTGTAGTTGGTTTCCCTAGCCAGTCTTGTCAATGATCTCACTGAGGGGGTTCAGGCCTATGTGGAACAGCAGTACGGAAGACCACCTCCTTGTTAAATCGATTGGCTTGAAGTTGGACTGATGTTCACCACAACGCCATCAAATTTCTGATGAAGGCTCTTAGGATCCTGTTGATCTTGTATAGCTCAGGGCATTCCAGGATCCAGGTGTGCTTTCTATCAGTAGATGGTGTTTTACCCCTCTGGTGTTTCTGCCCATTCCTTTCCGTGCCAAGTATTGAGCCATATGCCTGTTCATCTTAGCTGCTATGATGCCAAACAGAAGCTTCCATTTGGCACTGAGGCAGGTCTTTGACTGGTAGTTGGATGGGACCAGTCCCTTATGGTGATCCTTAGGAATCAGGACTGTCTGGCCTTCAGTGAGCCATTTTGGATGTGTCTCATCTACTAGCTACTGGTTCATTTGTGAAGCCAGACACTCATGGAGTGCAGCCAGTAGGTGTGAATCATGTTTGGTCTTGGTGTTTTCCAACTCTTCATACTGAAGACATTTTCTTAGATATCTGCCACAGTGATTGTTACTGGATCCTGTTCAGGGGTCGACATTTAGATCCACTGTGGAGGTAAACACAGACAACACAAGAGCTCTCGATTGTCTCGATCCTTGTTTATTACTCATCACCACACAACTGAATACGTTTCCCTCCAAAACACAGCAACAACACTTCCTGAGAACTGGGTGTGAGTGGAGCCCTCCAGTGGTCCACCACTGAGCGTCATGCCTGATGAAAACAAATTGTGAAGAGTCCAACGACCTTGGATCAAATGTGTCGGGCAGACAATGGTGCACTGGGCCAGGAACAGAAAACGAGTCTCTTGGGGGATGGAGAGACAGCCCAGAGGGATTGAAGCACGGGTGTGGACTCTCGGGCAAGAATTCCCTGGGGACCTGGAGGGGCTGACCAAGTTCAGCCGGGGAAACCCCGAGGTCTTCTTTAACCGCGCAGCGCAACCCCAGTAAAACCCACAGAAGACGGTCAACCCAGTTGCCATCTGTGAGAGAAGCACGGAGCGCGGCCTTAAGCGACCGGTGGAAACGCTCGCACATCCCGTTGGCCTGCGGGTGGTACGCAGTTGTTCGGTGGACCTTGATTCCCAGGCCGTCACCCATGGCAGACCAAAGCTCTGAAACAAACTGGGGGCCCCTGTCTGAAGTGATGTTGGCGGGGGGACCGAAACACGAAAAATGACAAAAATGCCCTGGCCAACGCTGCTGCTTTAGTAGACGCCAGAGGCACTGCCTCGGGCCAGCGGGTTGTGCGGTCCACTAAAGTCAAAAGGTGCGTGAAACCTTCTGACTGCAACAGAGGACCAACCAGATCACATGCACATGATCAAAACGCCTCCCTGGGGCGTGGGATGAGCGCTGCTGCCCAGTCTTTCACCGATTTACAAAGGCTCAGCGAAACAAACCTAGAGCTGACCAGCTTGACCGAGGCCTAGACCCCTTGGATGAGAGAGGGCGTGTACTGAGTCGAAAACGCCATGTCTGACGCGTCGGTGTTCAACGCAATCTCCGCCGATGGAAACGGGTGGGCCAGCAGGGCGGCGTTGGCCAGCAGGGCGGCGTTTGCCAGCAGGGCGGCGTTTGCCAGCAGGGCGGCGTTAGCCAGCGCGGCCTTGGCCCCAGAAAATGGCTGGATGGGTTCAGGGAGTCAATCAATGGGGTCATTAGCTGTTTTACCCTTCAAGGCAGCACAGAGTGGCTGCAGCAGGTGCGCAGCTCTGGGGGAAGAGTGGTTGTAGAAATTGACCATCCCTGAGAACTCCTGCAGCGCTTTAACCGACGTGGGACGTGGAAAAGCCGAAACGGCCCGGACCTTGTCTGGCAACGGAACCACACCGTCAGCGGAAATGCAGTGGCCCATGAAATCCAGAACCGGCAACTCAAATTGGCACTTGGAAGGGTTGACGATCAGGCCGTGATCGTGGAAAGTGCAGGTAGCCAAGAAAATACGATCCACTTCCTCAACCAGGGAGCGATAATCCTTCACGCCCAGAAGCGGAGAGTTGGTGAAGCCGGTTCTCACGGCCACTGGCAGCTGTCGGAGGAAGATGTGGGCGAAGAGCAATCCCCCGTCGTCCGGTCCGAGAAAAGATAGCATGTGCTGCATCAGTTCGAGAGCTGTACTGCCACCCAGGCCTGAGAGGGAGAGGAGCTTCTCGGCTCTCTCTGCGTCGGAGAGGGCATAGCGCCGAAGAAACAGCTCCTTAAGGGCGGCGTATTTCCCTTGGGTGGGTGGGTGCCGGAGGAGAGTCATCACACAACGGGTGGCTAGCAGGTCGAGAGGCCACCACATGGTGATATTTCGTGAATACTTTTCTCTCCAAAACACAGCAACAACACTTCCTGAGAACTGGGTGTGAGTGGAGCCCTCCAGTGGTCCACCACAGTGTATGCTTTTGCTTCCCTGCAAGTAAAACAAACGCAGTAAAGCCTGCTGCTCTGTGTGTCTCACGTCTGCACGCAGATCTGTAACGGCAGCAGAAACATGACTGTTAATAACAAAATTTGTGCCTTGCTGCATGCACACTACAGAAGTGATGTACAACAGACAGATTGCACTAAACACAGACGATATCACAAAATTACACATCTGCTGACATATAACCAGCAAGTATCTGCTTCTTTTTCGTCCTATTAAAATGTCACTCATTCAAAGGGAAGTGTTAACAGCAGACTCAGACCATGGGGTAATAAAGAGGAAACTATTCAGCAGAGACAGAAACCACACATCAACTGCCTGTAAAAGACGAACATGGCCAGCAAATACAAGCGACTCGGCAAGTACATTTAAAAAAAGCAATCTATAATATTAGTGTTAATTAAACAGTAATAGAACTCAACACTCACTTTATCTTTCTCAGGTTTTATCTTTATTTGATCTATTCCTCTCACTGGTTTCCTTTGTTTTTACAATAGTTGACGTTTTTGTGTAGTTGTTATTGTAAAGCAGATTGTACAATATGATCTAAATACATGAGCACAATGACCGACGTAAACATTAATCGACCAATGGTTAAAAAAATCCTTGATGGGAGCAGTTTGTGGATGACACGAGAAGTAAACACAATTTTAACACTTTTGACAGAAAAACAAAGGGCAGGTTTCGGTTTTTGTAGCTTCTTCTGTTTTCTTGTTTGTGGCTTTTGTTTCATTGATTGACATACCCACAACCACTGTGCAGCAGTCACACACTGTTCTTTACATTAAACCCAATACAGTGCAGCAAACTAACCTGTTTATCCTGCACAAACCTGCAGAGGATTCTCATGCAGAGACAAACATACAAAAAAATCTGAAGGAGCTCAAACACTTTTTCACACTGTTTATTTGGTTTTACTGATGTTAACACAGTTGCTGATGTTAAAATTTGCTAATTTCTTTAAACAGAGTCAGGAGAACCACAAAAGAAGCATACAAAAGAGAAACCAGAGCTCAGGATGGTGCTTGTTGGAAAAACTGGATCTGGAAAAAGTGCATCAGGAAACACCATCTTAGGAAGAAAGGGTGCTTTTGAATCTAGATCATCTTCAAGCTCGGTAACTTCAGTGTGTCAGAAGGAAACAGGAGAGTTTGAAGGTCAAAAACTGGCTGTGGTCGATACTCCCGGTCTGTTTGATAATGTTAAAACTGAAGAGGAAATGAAGACAGAGATCAGGAGAATCATCTCGTATGCTGCTCCTGGTCCTCATGTGTTCCTGGTTGTGATCCGTGTGGACAGATTCACAGAGAAAGAACGAGAAACAGTGAGAATCCTTCAGCAGATGTTTGGAGTCCACTTAGCAGGATACACCATGGCCTTGTTCACACGTGGAGATGACCTGGAGTGTGGGGGAGTCACCATAGGAAATTTCATCAGGGAAAATCGAGCTCTCCAAGACTTCATCCATCAGTGTGGAGGAGGATATCATGTTTTTAACAACTGAGATGATGACAATCCCTCTCAGGTCAGAGAGCTGCTGAGGAAGATCAACACTATGGTTCAGGGAAACGAACGAAGCTGCTACACCAATGAGATGTTCAGACAGGCTGAGGAGGCCATGAGAAAAGCAGAAGCAGACCTCAGGATTGTTGTTGTTGGGAAAACTGGAGCTGGGAAGAGTTCATCAGGAAACACCATCTTGGGAGGAAAAGCCTTTAAAACCGCATCAGCTTCATCTCCTGCCTCAGTGACATCAGAGTGTCAGCAGGAAGCAGCTCTGTTTGATTTTCAAACCCTGGCTGTTGTTGATACTCCAGGCCTGTTTCACTCTGTGTTTACCTTAGGCCAGGTGAACACGGAGATCAATAGATGCATCTCACTGGCTGCTCCTGGTCCTCATGTGTTCCTGGTTGTGATCCAGCCAAACATATTTATAGATGAAGAACAAAAAACCCTGAGAATCCTTCAGGAGGTGTTTGGAGATGAAGCCGTTCGTTACTTCTTAAAACAGAATAATTGCTACGATGCCTTCCAGTCAGGTTTTAGACAGAACCACAGCACTGAAACCACTTTGACCAAAGTGTTTAATGACATATGTCTGAACACAGACAGTGGAAAAATGTCAGTCCTAGTTTTACTGGATCTCAGTGCAGCATTTGATACAGTTGACCACAACATATTACTCAAACGACTGGAGAACTGGGCAGGTCTTTCAGGAACTGTACTAAACTGGTTTAAAACATACTTAGAAAACAGGAAATACTTTGTATCAATAGGTAACTTCACATCCGAGCAGACAAGTATCACATGTGGAGTTCCCCAAGGTTCCATCTTGGGACCCCTTCTGTTTAACATTTACATGCTCCCACTGGCACAGATTATAAAGAACAACAAAATAAACTACCACAGCTATGCAGATGACACACAAATATATATCACAATGTCACCAGGAGACCGAGGCCCTGTACAGGCTCTTGGTAAATGCATTGAGGAAATCAATGACTGGTTGTGCCACAATTTTCTCCAACTAAACAAAAACAAAACTGAAGTAATAGTCTTTGGCGCCAAAGAAAAACGATTACAGGTCACCAGAGAACTTCAATCTATACATCTAAAAACCACAAACCAGGCGAGAAATTTGGGTGTAGTGATGGATGCAGACCTAAACTTAGAAAAACACATTAAGACAATAACAAAGTCAGCTTACTATCACCTCAAGAATATTTCAAGGATAAAAGATCTGATGTCTCAACAGGACCTGGAAAAACTAGTCCATGCATTCATTTTTAGTAGGCTTGATTACTGTAACAGCATCTTTACAGGTCTACCTAAAAAATCAGTCAGACAACTACAGCTCATTCAGAACTCTGCTGCTCGAGTCCTCACTAAGACCAAAAAAGTGGACCACATCAGTCCAGCTCTGTGGTCTTTACACTGGCTGCCTGTCCGTCAGAGGATAGACTTTAAAGTTCTGATGCTGGCCTATAAAGCTCTGAATGGTTTAGGTCCAAAATACATCAGTGACCTCCTGACCCAGTATGAACCTTCCAGATCCCTCAGGTCATCTGGATCCGGTCTTTTATCAGTTCCCAGAGTTAGAACCAGACACGGAGAAGCTGCATTCAGCTTTTATGCTCCTTATATCTGGAACAAACTCCCAGAAAGCCTCAGATCAGCTGAAACACTCAGTTTATTTAAATCCAGGTTGAAGACTCACCTATTCTCAGCTGCATTTGAATAAAGCACCAAATCCACACTTTTAAGCTTAAATTTCAAAACTTACACTAACTACTGATCTTATCTATTTTGATTTTATATACTGTTTTGTTTGTTTGTTAAGCTTAAATTTCAAAACTTACATTAACTACTGATTTTATCTACTGTTCTGATTTTATCTGTTTTGATTTTATATACTATTTTGTTTGTTTGTTTGTTTGTTTGTTTGTTTGTTTGTTTGTTTAGTGGGTTTAGAGCTCTGGGTAGCTCCCCAACTGGGTCTAGACTGGGTCTAGAGAGTATTTTAAATTCAGGGAATTTAAAATAGAAAGTAGCTCGTCCACAGAAGGACTGGTAGCTCCCCTTACGATAAGGGTTCAGATCGCGCGAACAGGTGTGAAATGTGTGTGTTTAGTTAGTTTGTTTGTTTGCTTGTTTTAATCAATTTTAAATTATGCTTTTTATTTGTTTTTGTTTCTAATGTCTCTGTAAAGCACTTTTAATCACCTTGTTGTTGAATTGTGCTATACAAATAAATTTGCCTTGCCTTGCCTTACACCATGGTGTTGTTCACACATGTAGATCTGAATGTCTCCATAGAAGAATTCATCACTAAGACTCCAGCTCTTCGTGAATTCGTCCGTCAGTGTGGAGGACGATATCATGTTTTTAACAACAATAGCAGAGATCCTGCTCAGGTCAGAGAGCTGCTGGAGAAGATTAGACTAATGGTTCAGAGAAACGGAGGAAGCTACTACACCAACAAGATGTTTGAAAAGGCAGAGAGCGCTATAACCAAAGAGATGGAACAACTTCAGAAGAAAAACCCTGGGCTGATGGCCACTGAAGCAAGATATGAAGCAGAGAGAAAAAACAAGTTTATCCAGGGCAGCTGGGTTGGTGCTGTTGCTGGAGCTGCTGCTGGACTCGGTGCTGGAGCAGCTGCTGGAGTCAGTACTGCGATTGCGACTGAGCTTGCTATTGGAGCTATTGTGGCAGCTGGAGCTGCACTGGATCGTACTACTGCTGCTAAAGTGAGGAAGCAGGCGTGTACTACACAGTGACAAATACTCACTCAGCAGCAGCTCGTTCACATCATCAAGTCAATATTGGGTGATCGTGGCTCAAGAGTTGGGAGTTCGCCTTGTAATCAGAAGGTTGCCGGTTCGAGCCCCAGCTTGGACAGTCTCGGTCGTTGTGTCCTTGGGCAAGACACTTCATCCGTTGCCTACTGGTGGTGGTCAGAGGGCCCGGTGGCACCAGTGTCCGGCAGCCTCGCCTCTGTCAGTGCGCCCCAGGGCAGCTGTGGCTACAATGTAGCTTGCCATCACCAGTGTGTGAATGGGTGGATGACTGGTTGTGTAAAGTGCTTTGGGGTCCTTAGGGACTAGTAAAGCACTATATAAACACAGGCCATTTACCATATTCACAAGTCCTTCTCATTATTCTCATAAATAAGGTGAATATTGGATTAAATTAAAATGAATTATTAATTATTGATCATGTTAGTTGTTGGAGTGATATTTTTATGATTGTCATTTGTACTTAGAAACAGAGCATCAATAATGTTTAGAGGTATATAATCGATTGCATTTTGAGATATAAATTTCTGAAAATAAATACTTGATTTTCTTTCTATCATAGTTTAGACTAAGCAAATGCACCTTGTTTCCTTAGCAGAGATGTTGGAGCCTCTATTTACCCTCAGAGTGATCTGATTTAAAAATTGTAAAACAGGATCTAAAGGAGGGAGGAAGGATTCATCCAAAGGAGGGCTGCTACGTCACAAACTATTTCAGCGAGTAAACCTGTGAAATCTGTGCACAAAAGCTCACCTGTTCTGTGTCAAGACGACCACTAAACAAGACTTTACCATTAGATTCTGGCCACAGGTTTCAGGACCAGTACTAAAAGTACACTGGTTTATTGGAAGCCCCCATGGCTGGGTTATGAACTAGCAAAAATAATAGCGTATAGTAAAAGAATAAATAGTGGTAGGTAGCTTCATTACACCTTTTGATTATCACCATGGACTGCTATCAGAATACCTGGTGGTATTTTCATCCTTCTCTCAGGAAATGGCATTAACTAAGTTTGTGATATAAACTCACCCTGATTTATCTTTCCTAAAGTAACATAAAGACAAGTAATGTCAGAAATCACAGAATAAAAGGGCTGACTGGACAGGTTACATATAACAAGCATAGTCATTTGTAGAACTGGACACTCAACAACTGTTAACATTGGGAAAGCTTCTACATATATCGACACATTCAAATTGACTGATTGTACTTTTTTTAACGCTGTGATGTGGAAAACACTAATACAATAACAGCATTTGGTCATGCTGCTGTCACTGATGCCTCAAACACATTTGACAGCTTCTAAATTAAGCTTACCAACATTATTTTATTTCTTTTTTTATTAGTCCTTTATTTATCCAGGTAAAAATCTTATTGAGATTAAAAATCTCATTTCCAAGAGAGACCTGGCAGTATTATTGTGAGTTATGACCCACATGCTAAGCGGTGCACTGCATCAAAAGTAAATCCTGTTACATCATGAAAAGAACAAAGACAAAAGAGGACAATTCAAACAAAGTACGAAAAACACTTTTATTATCAGCAAGGTGTGTAAAACCATTCATTGTGAAAGGTAATTACAGTTTAGGTTAAGTTTATGTACTGAAATGAAGGATGAGCATATATTACACCTGTCATTATGAGACACCATCAAATCACTCCAGCAGAGAGACCTCATGGAAGTATGCTCCCAGCAGCTTGACTCCCTGAATGTAGTTTGATCTGAAAATGGAGAAATGAAGCAATGACAACGGTTTATAATTTAAAAAAAAAAAAAACAAAAAAAAAAAACAACTCACTTTACCTGTCATTAAGTTAAGCACAGAAATAATCTGGAGATGACAAACATGATCCTCTTCTTTTACTGCAATATTTCATCTATTTTATCAATAGTTCCTACTTGTTCCACATTTCAAAAGAAGTGAAACGGTGTGAGCTGTGACCAACCTGTTGATCTTTTCATTCTGAGAGTGAGCTCCATCATCAGAGGACCCTACAGGAAGCAGCATGACATTACGGCCTGTGGCCTCCTGGAAGGTCAGGGTGACTGGGATGCTGCCACCCTCGCGAGTCAGATCAGGCTCGACCCCAAAGACTACAGCACAACGAGGAGGAAAAAACAAGGCAAAAAGCAATAACAATTTTAATAATAATAATATTTTGTTTTCACATTAAACTGGGTATAATCCTATCAGTGAAAATACAT